ATAACACATACCCAATAGTTGTTGTTGCTGGTATTTGTTGAGAGGGAGGTGGCTAGAGTAAGGAGTTTGAACCAAATGGATAATTGAAAGTAGCCGGATATATGGAAAGAAAACAGACCTATATGTGGTTGAAAACATTTTTTCTATTAAAAATTTGATTTAAAATTTTTATTTTTAGATAATTGTAAAGTCACATACAATCATAAGAAATAACACATAGAGATTCTCTATATCTTTTACTCAGTTTTCCCCAATAATAACATTTTGCAAAACTATAGTATCACAACCGGATATTGACAGATACAGTCAAGACACAGTATTTCCATCACCACAAAGATCCTTCGTGTGGCATCATTTTAGCTTCCTATAAGCAATGTATGACCAAGTTCCTATAACCAAGTTCTCCATATCCTCACCAACACTTATTATTTTTCATTTTTAAAATTATAGCCATCCTATCAGGTATGAAGTAGCAATTAATTGCGGTTCGATTTATATTTCCCTGATGAACATTTTAAAATATGCTTTTTTAAAAAAATATATTTTATTGATTTTCTACAGAGAGGAAGGGAGAGGGATAGAGAGTCAGAAACATCCATGAGAGAGAAACATCGATCAGCTGCCTCCTGCACACCGCCCCCTGGGGATGTGCCCGCAACCAAGGTACATGCCCCTGACTGGAATCGAACCCGGGACCCCTCAGTCTGCAGGCCGACGCTTTATCCACTGAGCCAAACCAGTCAGGGCAAAATATGCTTCTTGATAATTTCTATAGCTTCTTTGGATAAATAACGATCCAAATCCTTTGCTTATTTCAAAATTGGGTTATTCATGTTTTTATTGTTGAGTTGTAAGAGTTCTTTGTGTATTCTACATACTTGATCCTTAGCAGTTATATACTACTAGTCTGTAAATATTTTCTCCCATTCTGTGGGTTGTCTTTTTAAAAAAATAAATTTTTATTGATTTCAGAGAGGCAGGGAGAGGGAGAAATAGAAACAACCCGGGTATGTGCCCTGACTGGGAATTGAACCATGTCCTCCCGGTTCATAGGTCGATGCTCAAGCACTGAGTCACACTGGCTGGGCTATTTTATTCTTTTTGAAGCAGCTGTGAATGGGATTGTTCTTTTTAGTTTCCTTTTCTGATAGTTCATTATTGGTGTATAAAAATGCAACTGATTTCATTATTTTGTATCCTGCTACTTTACTGAACTCATCAGTTCTAATAGTTTTTGGTGTAATCTTTAGAGATCTCTATATACAATATCATGAAATCTGCAAATAATGGCAGTTTTACTTTTTCCTTTTTAATTTGGATGCCCTTTTTATTTCTTCTTCTTGTCTGATTGCTGTGGCTAGGACTCCCAGTTCTATGTTGAATAAGAGTGGTGAAAGTAGACATCCTGTCATGTCCCTGATCTTAAGGGAAACACTCATAGTTTTTGCCCATTGAGTATGATGCTGGCTGTGGGTGAAAGTCTGTAACTCTTAACTGTTTCTTTTAATAAATAGAAATTTTAAATTAACTCATTTTGTTAGTCTTTTATTTTGTGGTTAGTACTTTGTTTTTTTCACTCCCAGATTATAAGTAATAATAATTGTAGTAACAATAATACTGTATTTGTAGATTAGGTTACAATTTATAATATGCTTCCATTAGTGTGTAAGCTCAGTGTAAGGAGCATTGTGTGTGAATGGTGTTCCCTAGATTTGTGTCATGCTAAGCCATGCCATGGAGCATGTGTTTTGTTCACAGTCATTAGTAGGAGCTCAACAAACACTTATTGAATTAATTTGCTGCATGAATAAGGCAGTGGATGAAAATCTTCTGGCCTTTAGTAGGGATGAAGAGAAGGAAACTTTCCTTGGATTAAAAAAAAAAGAATGGAGGAAAAGAAAAGTAGGACAACTTGTAATGATATTGAATGATAATAAAAAAAGACCCCAGAGAGTTGTGAAGCATTCATAACCTTGGAAAAGTTGCTCCTGTGGAGGAGCTAAAATAGGTCAAACACTTAATGCATTGTCATGCTTTTTTCCTCCAAAATATTTCTAAAGCACAACTTGAGAAAATTACTAAAACGTCTTTGCTTCAATATTAATCAAATGAGAGACTGGCAGTAAGTTTAGTTTGCAAAGTAGGTATTAAGCTAGGAAGGAAGGAAGGAAGAAGGGAGAAAGACAGGCACACTCAAAAGCAATGAATGATTTTTCTACCAGGGTTTGTTCTTATGGTTTGAAGGCTGTGAAATGAAGGGTATCACTGCTATTTGTAAAATGGAAATAATGAGAAGTGCCTCTCAGGGTGGTTGTGAATGTTAAATGTGCTCACTGGGAGGAATTCCTGTACATAGTAGGCACAATGTTTCTTACCATGTGAAATTTCAACATTTGCCATTAGAACTGGCAGATTTGCTGTGTATGCAGAGAAGGTCTTGTGTATATTTGGAGGCGAGGTAGAAATTGAGAAATTAACGTTCTAAGCATTGTGTATGTTTATGTTCCCAGCAGGTATGGCCTCCTCTATTTCTGATAGTAAGGATGGCATGGGCCATTCAGGGTTTGAAGTGGATCTGGCAGAGAAGAGACCCTTTTTCTTTGTTGTGAAGTGGGATGTGGCCTAGAGCTGGGGCTGGGGGAGGCCCCTGCACAGAAGACAACAGAGCTGATGCTCACCGAAAACAAAGGTGGATACACATCCAGGTTCATTTCCCCTTTCCCTCCCTTGTTTACATGATCTAATCTGGTCCTCTGTTTGGCTTCAGCTAGTTCAAGTTGGGTTTTTATCACTCACAACTAAGAAACTCTTGATTAATGCAAAAACAATTTTGAAGTATTTACATTAATTTTTAAATTCTCTGTTGAAGGTATCTACTTTAAGTTTGGAAGCGATGATGTTATCTATCATTTATTTATAGCTTTTAACTGCTCTGTGTGGTTTATTTTAATTTGAAAAGCCAATTGAGAAATACTACCAGATTTTTCTTTTCTATGCATTAATTAAGATGAAATACATAAAAGCACAGTTTTTTAGATACTATTTTTTAGCTTTCTGTAACTGCAGCATATTGCATTATTTATTCAGTGTCTTCAGTAGAGTAATAGTAGCACACTTAAATAAAATCCTATGAGGTATAACACTGAAGTGAGTACTGAGTTTTCAGCTGAATTTCAATGTGTCTTTCCCTCATGGAAATATGATTGTTGTAGGAATTCCCCATTACACAGCACTGTTATTTGAAAGGTAATTTAGAGGAAGAATTGTTATATTACACTAATGCATTGAAAGGGAAAAATGTCAGACTTCCTGGATCCAAATGATAGAAGTCCCAGATACTTTAGGAGAACCAAAGATTTGAGAGCCTGTAATAGTGATTTTGAAAGCTAAAGCAGTAAAATAGTTTCTATCTGGACAGAAATGTGATTGTTATTCATCTCAAACAGTAAGTACTACTACTGATTATGATCATTAACTGTTTAATGGAGGTATACTTTCACACTATAAAATCCACCTGTTTTTAGAGTAGAATGCAATGATTTTTAGTAAATTTTACATAGTTGTGCAACCATCACCACAATCCAAATTTAGAACATTTGTATCATTCTATAAAGACCCTTAGTACCTATTTGCTGTCACTTTCTGTTCTTACCTTCCCATAGATTATTCAACTGCTAATCTACTTTCTGTCTCTATAGATTTGCCTATTTCTGAACAGTTCATGTAAATGGAATCATAAAATATAAATTATAAATACAATATCTGACTTCTTTCATTGACATAGATTTTTGAAGTTCATCTATGTTATAACACATATTTCATGCCTTTTTATTGTTTAGTATACCATTATATGAATATACCGTATTTTGTTTATCCATTTACGAATTGATAGGCTTTTGGATTGCTTCCAGTTTTTTTTTGGCTACTATATTTACCTTTAAGTCTTTGTGTGGATATATGTTGTAAATTATCTTGGGTAGATTCCTAGGAGTGGAATTAAAGGGCTCTGTGGTAAATGTCAAGCTAACTGTCAAACTTTTCCCACATGCTGTACTATTGTACATTCCCATCCGTGAAGCATGAGGGTGCCTGCTTCTCCACGTCCTTACCAACATTTGTTATTGTCTGTCTTGTTGATCATTGCCATTCTAGTGGGTGTGTATAGCGGTATCTCATGGCTTTAATTTGCATTTCCTTAACGACTAATGATGCTGAGCACCTTTTCTGTGTCCGTTTGCCATTGACATATTAATTATGGATTTGACAGTGGGAATGTATGTCGCCAAACGAAATGCAGATGCTTAAAACACATCTGAAAGATGCTGCGTATAATTCCTATATCCAGGCACATTAAAACAAAACAAAACCCACCATTGTCCACATTAAAGATTTTTCAAACTAAAGAATTCTCATATGAAATATTTCAGTTGCTCTTTCTTAACTTTGAGAGCCAAGAGGTGGTGGGGAGTGAATGCAGCAGCCTCGCAGGCGAGCCGCGGCGTGTGCAGACCGCACCAGCACCGCAGTCTGAGGGGGCGTGTGCAGGAGCTGGGGCCAAGGTGCGCGGCAGCTCCCGGCTATCGCGAGAGTTGGGCGGCCGAGCAATCGCAGCAGTCAATTCCCCCACCCTCCCGGGAGGAGCCGCCAGCCCTGGGCTCTCCAAATTCTGAGCTCTCATCATT